GCAGCAAATACGAGTAACAACATTCGGCGAGCGCAATTCCTTCATAGGAGATTCAACGGCGTCTGGGGGCGATTTCTTCGTAGTAGACATAACAGCTTAAAACTAAATTTCGGTGATAATATGTAAGCCTATATAAAGCATGGTGTCTGCAGTACGTAACCCCTATTGCAACAGATTTCGACTCCATCAAGTTAGTTACAAGTTACATATTCACCAAAACCTTAAAACTAAAGAAGCATAAATTCCAGCAGTACTAACGATGAGATATCGAATATTGAGAGTAGACGTCATTAAAGGGAGTTAGAATCAGTTATAAAACATGGTACTTAGCACAAATAATCATAGAGTGAATTCGTGTAGAGTGGTCAAATAGGTGAGGAAAGGGTCGACATGTATGTGTGAATAAGCGAACAATTACCGCGACAAGTAAAGGGAAAGTGATTTTCAAAACACACCATATGTATAAATTCACAGAATGAAAGTGAAACGCAGGCAGGAAACGAAGGAACTACTAATAAACATGGCATATAAAGTGAAGCCAAAATTACTGTAAATTCGCAATAGACATGAATGATATACGCGGGAAAACCAATACATTACGATAATTGAATAAATTGAAATAGTTATTTGCTCTGAAAAAGTAAAACATATTATGGTGTGAAGACAACAATAATACGATAGTCTGAAAGACACAAATAACACAACAATATACATCAATTCAAGAATGGTTAGGGCGGGGGAATGCGACTGGGGAGTGAGGTGAGTGGTCACAGTGACCTCAATGTGTAACTTCGTTGTGAGTTAAAACAATCATTAACAGAGAAATTTTGCAATATAGAATTAGTAGTTAAGAAAAGGCAACTTTTATGTAACGTGTGGGTGCGTTTAGGGAGGGCGAATAGTTAAACTGGCACTGAAGAGGTACACTTACTCTTAAAAGTAGCGAGAGAGTATCGGTGGAGTAGGGTCAGTGTGATTTCATGGCTTGTGCTGACGAAGGTTCGCGAAGACTTGGCGAGGTAGGTGAGTCGGTTGGCGAGAGTGGGTTGGGGAACTTATCTTCAGCGACTTCGTCGGGAGCGTAGAGCAGGCGTGAGTTGTCAGCATGACGTAGTGTGGCAAACATGGTGTGGGCGGCGTGGATCTTAGCGAGGAAACACTTCGGCAGGAGCTTCTTCAGGAATGTTCGGCGTTATGAACTTCCACTGCTCGCCACCAGTTGTGAAGAAGTTGGGGGTGTATGGGTGGTGGTGAATGAAAGGGGACTTTGCTTGAGGGTTTTATTGGGGAGGTAAGGATGTGGCCTCCGAGAGTGACCTCGCGCCCCGAGTCCCCAAGGCCGGAGAGTGACCTCTCATCCTGTGGATGCTCTGCTAGGTCTTGGTCTGCTTCTGGTGCTCTCCCTCTCTCTGCCTGACGAGACGTCCTCTATATATATATATATATATATATATATTATATATATATATATATATATATATATATATATATATATATATATTATATATATATATATATATATATATATATATATATATATATATATATATATATATATATATATATATATATATATATATATATATATATATATATATATATATATATATATATATATATATATATATATATATATATATATATATATATATATATATATATATATATATATATATATAATATATATAATATATATATATATATATATATATATATATATATATATATATAATATATATATATATATATATATATATATATATATATATACATACACACACACACACACACATATATATATATATATATATATATATATATATATATATATATATAATATATATATATATATATATATATATATATATATATATATATATATATATATATATATATAATATATATATATATATATGTATGTATATATCTATATAATATATTATATATATATATATATATATATATATATATATATATATATATATATATATATATGTATATGTATGTATATACATATATGTATATATGTGTGTGTGTTTCTATGTATGCGTGTTTCTGTGTACATGCATATGAATGTTGTGTGTTTATGAATATGCCGTGTATTTGCTGGTGTCTGTGTATGCAATGGCATTCCAAAAGCTTCCCTTGCCTTCCAGCGCCGCCACAACCTCTAGAAGCGTCTTGCTCGAGTACCCCGCCCGCTGAACACAGCATTGTTGTCACGTGGTCTGCTCCCAACACATTCTGCAACGTGTCCGCGTACAACGTCACGTACATCGGAGACGTCCTGTGGTCGGACGAGGAACAGGTCGGTACACTGCAGACTTCAGAGGAGATGGCCAACTTGAGCAGCTTGACCTCCTGGACTAAGTACCACGTGTGCGTCGCGGGCATCGTCTTGGACGACTTCGTGGGTGAACAGTCCTGCTGCGACGCCGTCACCCAGGAGGCAGGTGAGGACTCTGGCCATGGGAGTTTGCGCAAGTGGCATGCCGTCACTACCCGGTGAAATTCCGTCTTACCGATTCTTCCTTGTTCTCCGGGGTGCTGCCCATGCCCTCAGCGTCCGGCCCCCCTGCCCTGTTCAACGTGTCGGGCACGAGCAGCAGCAGCATCAGCGTGTTCTGGGAGGAACCGCGCGCGCAGAACGGGAAGATCGACTTCTACCAGCTCCAGTTCGGCGGCGAGTCCGTGCAAGTGGAGAACGCGACGGAGTTCACCCTCACCGGCCTCGCCAAGAATTCGAAATATATTATAAGCTTAAAGGTAATCTTATCGGATGACGTCAACCGGGATCCCGGGCCCAAAACCGGAGTTGCTCCACAATGGTATTGTCCTCCTACAGTTTCTCGGCCTTCAAGAAGCTACGACGTGCTTTAACGCAACTGGAGTCACGGGTCGCCATGCATCAGCGACACAAAAAGCGGTGGAGCCAGCAGGAACGAGGCGCGCTGAGAGACTGCTTCCGGCGTCGCTGATGCATGGCGATCCATGGTCTCCAGAGGCTTCAGTGCGCGTTGCAGCTCGTGGACGGCCGAGGAAAGACGCAGAAGGAAAAGCAGTTTCTCTCCCCGCAGGCCCACAACGGGGCGGGCTTCGGCGAGGCGGCGACGACGACGGCGACGACGCAGAAGGCGGCCAACGTGGGTGCCATCGTGGCGAGCGTGTTGAGCGGGCTGCTGATCGTGGGCGTGGGCGTGGCTGCCTTCATCTACAGGGACAAATTGAGGAACGTGATAGCCAGAAAGACCTCGAAAAGGTGGTTCTCGTTTTGCTGTCTCAAGCTCTCTTAGGTTTCTGTCTGAGATTATTAGCTTGGTCCTTATTCTTGAATTATGATTATTAGTACCCTTATTATGATTATTGCTATTATCATCATTATTATCATTACTTTCATTACTATTGTTATCATCTATTGTTGCTGTTGTTATTATTGATATTATTTTCAATATTATTACCATTGCTATTATAATCATTGTTATTATTATCATTATTATTACTATCATAATCATCATATTCTAATTGTCATCATCATTATCATATCTATTATCAGTATTAGTAGTAGTAGTAGTGTCATTATTATTATTATTATTATTATTATTAGTGACGAGGGATGAGAAGGTTCTCTGTTTGTCTTTTTGAAAGCTTCGTTTGAAGCCAACCAAGAATAAATCTTTATCTTCAGCATCCTCTCTCGATTTTTCGCTCGTGATTTCCATCGTTTTTCGATTTCCTCCGTGGCGAAGACTTCCATTTTGCACCAATAACCTTGCACGATTCGTTGCTACAGCTCGAAGATCTATTTAGTTTCTAGGTCAGTAAGATGTATTTCTGTTTCCTCTTCACCCTCTTTTTCTCCTGCCTTTTTCTCCACCATTCGTCGCCAATATTTTCTTGTCTTTCTATCAGGATATTTTTCATTTCGTCTAATTAAGAAAATCGAAAAAAGCGTTTGTCCAAGAGTTAGCAGCTGTGATTAAGGGAGATATACATCTATATTAAGCAGTCCCGTCTTTTCTATGCGTTGTTGCCATGAACACTGCCCCTGTCCCACTCAAGGAGTTGCCAATTTTCGAAATTCTGCTCCTTATTGCTGAATTATGATCAGTCCATATAGATCTTAGAATTCGTTCCATTATTTCAGTTTCGAGACAATAGCCTTGAATGGATTGTCCTTAGATGATAAAACACTGGTATTTATCTTTAATACAATACATTAGATTATGCCCCTTAAGATTCTGCGAAGGAGGTCGTGGGGCGGCCGGTCGTTATGTTTAAGCGAGAAAGAACACGCATAACAGTGGGTAAAAGAATTCGGTTAGGAAAATTCCAAAGAAACTCTTCATACAACTTTTTGTCTTTATTGACATGTGTTATGTATACATGCATGGGTATCATATATATATATATATATACATATATATATATATATATATATATATATATATATATATACTGTGTGTGTGTGTGTGTGTGTGTGTGTGTGTGTGTGTGTGTGTGTATATATATATATATAATATATATATATATATATATATATATATATATATATATATATATATATATATATATATATATATATATATATATATATATATATATATATATATATATATATATATATATATATATATATATATATATATATATATATATATATATATATATATATATATATATATATATATATATATATGTATGTGTGTGTGTGTGTGTGTGTGTGTGTGTGTGTGTGTGTGTGTGTGTGTGTGTGTGTGTGTGTGTGTGTGTGTGTGTGTGTGTGTGTGTGTGTGGCACTTGCACACACACACACATACATAGATATGTGTGTGTGTGTGTGTGTATATAAATATATTTATGCATATATGTATGTATATGTATTCATATCATCAGTTTATGTACCTTATCTCATAACAGAATCGCTTTCCAGGGAACCGGTGCAAGAACACCCATTGTCCACGACATCCACAGCAGTTGGGAAAGATCAGCTGAGGAGTTAC